ATACGAGGCCATTCATGTGATCTGATTTCGAAATCTCGGTGAACAGGGGAATTTCTTATCATTCCGGTCCGTTATCAGGCTGTTCAATGCGTAACCTTTGATTTACTGATCAGAGCGTCCAATCAAGCCGCTTCCTACATGGTGTCGTTATTCGGGCTTCTCTTTGTCATACTTCTAGTACCGACATGGAGCAACGCATACAAAATGGTGCTTTTCGTGCCCGATATGGCTAACAGTCAGGTAAATTACGCCGAGCGTCTTTCATAAATAATGATATGTTGGTTACATACTTACATAGGTGCTTTTTAATGCTCGAGTAGCGGAGACGTTAGCAAAGGCAGGTAACGATGTCACGATGGTGATGATTTTGCCGTATAATGACAGAGACTCGAGTGACGTGAAGATCATGAAAGAAGTGAAAAGTGTGTTTTTTGCTTATTCATTTGTTTATTTACTTATTTACATATTTGTTTTGGATGTCCCTACTCAGTACATAAATATTCTTCGTGGATCTACAGCAACATTACGACCAACATCTCACCGTTCTACATCATCGGCGTCATCGCGACGTGCAAGAGAGGGGTTCGACGTGGGCGACACCAGGTCTTCGCCCAACAGTTTGATTGTATTTTCTTCAGCGCCGCTCTCGAGAACGTCATGCGTCAACTGGAATGGGAAGACATGGGAGTGAAGGTCGACGGCCGGCAACTACACCACCTTCGTTTTGCTGACGACATCGTTCTTATAACGCCGAACATCGAGCAAGCGGAGCGAATGCTGGCTGATTTCGACTGCGCCTGTGGTAAGGTTGGTCTACAGCTGAACCTAACGAAGACGATGTTTATGAGAAACGGATTGGTTCCTGATGCCCCATTCACGCTCAACGGAACGAACATCACCGAATGCTCCAGCTACGTGTACCTAGGTCGGGAAATCAATATGATGAACGATCTAGCTCCAGAGCTGAGCAGGAGGAAACGAGCGGCTTGGGGAGCGTAAAGGCAAGATTCGGGATAAAATAGGTGTCTAAAAGCGTTCAGTCATGATACTAGAGGTGGGAGGTGGTCTATAAAAGAGAAGGAAAGCAAACGAAATCACAGATTACGCGCCCGTACAGAAACCTCCCCTATTTCAGCAACATTCCACCTTGGGATAGAGAAAAGGCGCGTTGGACGAGTTTCGCGAGCCTGACTCTAGTTGCTCCAGTGCCATTGACACAGGGTCGCGGTGGGACCGCTGCCTCAAATGCGCCCGCGCTTTTCAAGCAGCGCCACGTGGCAACGGACAGCGGAGGGTGGGGCTTGCGGACGAAGGTGTGAGTTGCAGGTCGGACGAGCTGCTTGTGCCTTTGTCGCGCACTTTCAAGCGGCAAAAGGGGTGCGACAACAACACTTGTCCGCCTGCCTACTACCCCGGGATGGAAGAGGCGAGCGCGCCTAATCGTGGAGCGTGCCTTTAAGAACATCGAGGGAGTAGTGAAGAAGACGAAGAACATCCGGCTCCGTGCCCACCTCTTCGATTCCGCTGTCCTTCCTGCCCTAACCTACGCCTCAGAGACTTGGACTCTGCGCAGGCAGGACGAGCATGCGGTCAGCGTTATCCAACGCGCTGTCGAGAGGACGATGCTAGGAGTAACCCTATACACGCAAGTGCAGAGGGGAATCCGGAGTTCGGAACTACGCCAACGATCGAAGATCAGGGACGCTGCCGTTTTCGCCAAGGAATCGAAGATAAGGTGGGCCGGACACGTCATGCGATTTTGCGATGACCGTTTGGACCAGAGCGGTTACCGACTGGATCCCTCGGGACGTCAAACGAACACCTGGACGACCGCCGGCCCGATGGTCAGACTTCTTCACGAAAGCTCTGAACGAAAGGAATGAAGGACTTCGTGTCCCTCGAGCGAAGGAGGATCCACTGGACCACTCTAGCACGCGACAGGGACGAATGGAGACGTTGCTGGCGCCCGCTCGAGCAAATCGACGATCAACGGGACGACAGGTGATACAGGTGATACAGGTGAAACTAAAAAATACTGATAATGCATAGAGTCCGAAACAGTTTATGGGCCTCACAGGCAGAGTGAACGGTCAAGGACTTCCTCAACCATGTCTCTGCACTGTGCGAGAGTAGTGCCGAGAGTGAACGTACGCGCGGAGGGCACAGACGGCTCGCGCATGGCGAGTGTGAATGTCCGCGATGGAGAACGTAATGATCACGTAAAGTTGACTGATCAGGCGAAAATACTCTCGACGTGCCGATGAAGTTTCCTCGACTGATATTCACCCTGCTCAAGTACTAAGCATAAGGGGAGGAGAGGGAGATATGCTGGTTGCGGCAGTTTATATCGCCTGCACCGATTTCAACTTTTGCAGTGCAGGAAGCTCTAGAGGTTGTGCAAATGTGGAAGTGGAATATTCTCCTGGTTCCAAGAATTCCTCCCTTGCAAAAAATTGAGATTTCTTCAGGCGGCAACAATCGTCGCACTGCTGCCTCTCCTTTACTGAAAACGACCCGTGCTTGTTTCTTGTGTCTTTGCACTTGGTTTAACTGTTGATGCGAGAATATTTTTTTCTGTTTTTAGTTCATCGCATCAACGCTTCATTTGGTCTCACACGAGAATTCCTTGAAGAGCAGCAGCAAAAAGTCATATTCAAGGTGAATGATCTAAGCTGAATTTCTGTAAATAGACAGATCCATAATAATATGCCTAAGGTTCAGCGGTCTTCATTTGGTTGCATTATGTAATATGAGTTCAATTATTTGTGAGGGTAAGAAGACGGTGCTGGTAATGGGAACTATAACATACAACTCACACCAGTGTGGGACAGGCACTATGCCAGAGGTCAAGCGTGGGCTGTTGAGATTCCTCAAACGGCGCGTTGAGGCTTTCTGCTACCATCAGAGAGTTCACGTTCGCGGGGCGGGACATTCGACACTCGCCAATGTGCGAGCCGTCTGTGCTCTCCGCGCGTACGTTCACTCTCGGCACTACATACCCTCGCGCGGTAGTGAGTCATCGTTGAGGAAATCCTCAACGCACACTTGACCCTGCCCTCTGCAGAGAGACGCATTCCAGCGCGCTCGAACTGGGACATTCTTCTCCGAAAGAGCTTCGTTGAAAGAAGGGTAGACCGTGAGTCCAGCCCTTTCACACGGGATCGTGTATTGGGGGAAGTTGAAAGGGTGGCCGTTGCGAGAAAGTGAGTTCGCTCGAGTGTCTACACTGGGAAACTGTTAAAAAGACGGAAATCGAGAAAGGACAAAATTAGAGAATTGAGGTAGTTTCTTTGACAGCTTATTGTATACCCTTCCCTTTCTGCCGCCGGGGAGTCTGGGGTGGGCTTTTTCTGGAAGAAAACCCTACTTTGCGATGCTTTGAAATTTCATGCTCAAGTAGAGATATGTGACCTTCGCAACTTCGGGAACTGGGAGGGGAAGGCAGCAGCAAGAGGGGCCTGTAATCTGATCATAGGGTTAAGCGCCAAGTACCTCAATTGTCTAGCTCACATTGAAGGCCATGTTTACGAGAAGAAGGCAGCTCATAAGAATTAAGCAACATGAGAAAGGGCACCGAATCAGAGAAATGGGATCACTTGATTAAGCGTTGATTTCCGCCGTCCCTCATCGGCCGCCGCTCTTCAACGCTAACGCGCTTTCTGCTAGACGGCTAGGGGTCTGCAGCGAATGGTTGGCCATTCGGAGGGTCTACAGCGGCCTGGGACGACCATGCTGGATTGGCCGGTTCTTTGCCGTTGCCATACTTCGTTGCAAATTGTGTGTCAGTGTGCACCCTTAGGGGACTTGCCTGTCCTTCCATTCGAGTTTCCTTCTTACCCGACCATACCGTGGGAAGGAACGACCACTCGTTTGAGTTGAGAATCAGACTTCTGGATGAAAATAAAATTAGACCAATCAACGTCAAAAATTAATCCTTTGTTTGAGGATCTGACCATATGGGATCCAAGGCTCCGAGCGAATATGGATAGGATGACAACGTTCCTAACGGAGGTGTGCCGAAGTAAGTCCAAAAATATTATAAGAATTTGCATCAGCCTGAAATTAGCGTGTCTCACATAATGTGCCTTCTGTTTAGAAGTAGTTGAGAACAAGGAGTTCCTCGAGTGGTTGACTGCTCAGAAGTTTGATCTTGCCTTTTCTCACATTTACGACGTCTGTCACATTGGTCTTATACACTACGCTAAAATTCCTTCATGGATTTGGCTGAACAGGTACGCTTCGGCACCCATGAACTCCGATACGATTAAACTCTAGTTTGGGTGGGGAGGGAGGCATAATTTTTCCGTAGTACTGAAAGCAATCCTTTAGGACTTAACCCTGGATAAGATAATAGGTACCGTCCCTTTCAAAAAGCGAGAAAGCGCCGGATGCAGCCATACACGCAAGTGACGACTGCCTTTCAAATGTAAATGTTTTTGTTGTTGCAGTTGTATTCGATCAGTTGTCACTAATTACAACTATCATTCTACCAAATCAGCTATCACTATGAACCACTACTAACCAGATTTACTTGGAAGCCGTCGTCACTTGTGGTGTATGGTCTGCACCCGACACTTTCTCGTTTTTTGAATGGGAGGGTAAACGAATCATTTCACACTGCGCTATATATGCAAGACCCGCCTACACCACGCAAATCCTTTCACATGCCCAGGAATTTGTAACAATTTAATAATGTAGTCGTCCCCCGGGGCCTTCATACGGTACTCGCCGTAAAAACTGCAAAATTCACGCGAAAAACGATTTCGCGTTTTTTTTTCGTTTTTCTGTTATAACTCGGTTCAAATTGAGCTTTTCAAAATCCGAAAACGATGTTGAGTTCAGCTCGTTGAGTTCTATAAAAGGCTGTCCTCAAGTTCTCTAGAGGCACCATCTTGGATTGCGCCAGTGCTAAAAGAAAAATTTTTTCGCCATTTTTTGGGAAATTGTTGCTTGCATGTGATGTGTGTGTAGTCCCGCTTATGCGATCTGACTGCTACACCTGAATGTGGGTCTCCAAATTTGCCCCAGAATGCGACACGTACTCAATCTAATCCACTACATTGTGAGATCAAATGAATAGGTGAGTGCTTCTTCTGTGGCGTGGCCCCAAACATCACCCCTCGTCATGCCCTTGTGAGATGATAAGATTTATTGCTTTTCAAGATGGACTTAGAGAACTGATATGTGCACCAGTCGATTCCCCATAAAAAATACTGTCGAACGGTATACAACAATGTTCACAACCAAGCATTTTTTTCTGCGCCTTAGGAGTACTTCCACACTACACCGGTCTTAATCAGTTTAGTATGATTTCAAATGGTCGATTACTGCATAGAAATTCTTATCTCTGCTATCTCTCTTTGCAGTTTGTGCCTCTCCCAATTTCTAAGGATATGGCCCTTATCCTTAGTATTAGAGAGGCGCAGATGGAGTCTCTGCCGCCGTCGAACCTGCGATCTTTCAAGCCTCCGATTTGATAGAAAAATTACTTTGCAGTGGCAATCTTATGGACTTCGTGGCTCATCACATGGGAGTGCCGAGAATTCCAAGCTATAATCCTCGTAAGTCCCTTCTCAGAAATTACTTAATTATTGATTTCTTTATTTATTCATACTATGTATATTTACTTATGAGATTGGAAAGAAGGTTTATCCAACGCGTTAAACATTAATTTCAGATGGAATCCCATGTTATATTTTTATAAAAATTTGTCAACAAAAAAACCCTTTCTACGAATGATTTCGTGAAAATTGAAAAATTTGAAAAACTGGGCGAATAGAATAGGTGCAACGCAGTCCCTGTGCCCGGGCTGTCGCAGTTGCAGACGTAGACAATACTTACCGTGGCTTAAACAACACGATGCTGGAGGCGCCCAGTTGAATTCAGGAGAGACGGCTGAAATTCATTAGCAAAAACGCCGGTTTGAACCCACAGGTCATGAAAAGTGAATCAAGCGAGAAGCTCCCTTACACTACTCGAGGAATTTTTTTTCAAACGAGTGATGATTGAATTTTAAAAAGAAATATGTGCCTTAACGCAAGATATTGGATATTTAGAAGTCCCAAAGCTATCAATACTGTGTAGGTCGGTCAGTTAGATGTTTTAGAATCCTTTGGCAGCGCGGCTGGTTTCGATTCAAGTACTATCTTTTATGTGTCTGCCAGGTGTAACTTACTGACTTCGAGTCAGTAGTCATACCTATCCATTGATGGTTGCCACCCATTATAGCCAATGCGAGGTGGGTATTCAGTGTCTCTCTTGTAGAATTTCATAGAGTTCTGATCGAAGAAATATTGGATGTCGATTTTGACTTTATGGTGATTCAAGTGAGATTTCTTCTCCAGAAGGTGATTGAGAGAGGAGAGCGGATAGTCGTTCGTTGACGCAGGATTAGTGCTATAAGGCGGAGCTAAAAGAACTGACCGCCCGAGAGTCTCCAATTTTTTAGGAATTTTCTTAGCAAGGCGGGCTCGAACGACCTCAGAGAAAAATAGATTTTGTCTTCCTTTGCTTTCAAGTTGAAGGCGTTGCCATCAAGCTGTCAACGATTCTTCCCATCACTGACACTGGTATTAGTTGATGCCGGTCTTCAGCGCAAAGGCCCTCCCGTATTGCGCCAACGACTCAGGAAGTTCGAATTCAGAGGGAGTTGGGTTTTTACTGTCAGAACTCCCGAATCGTTTGAGCAAATCTACTGCGGCTCGTGGATTTGTTAGCACACACTGCACCCAGTCCACATCACCAATGAGTATTATAGATGGTCATCCGAAGGAACTATGGGAAACCAACAGGAACTTGATGATGTCAGATTGGGTTGAGAACTGATTCGGGACTACAATTTTCCTTCGATCAGAACTCTATGAAAGTCCACAAGAGAGGCACTGAATACCCACCCTCGCATTGGCGATATGTTGTAATAATAATGATGTATACTATGCTGGATAAGTAGATCAGAGAAATAAGATAAGTAATAAATCGAAAAACACCAAAGGTTCTCAAAAATTGTGGACCGACCTAATACAATTACAATATAATAATATCAATATTAAGGAACGGCGTTCGAGTCGTTCTGGGGGCAAAAGTTCCTTGTTTCACAAACTCCGTTTTTTCTTGTGGAAGTATGGATAAGTCGATACATTTCCGATTGGCACGTGACCAGCAGCACGTCATGGTATCAAGTCATGACACACGGGTTGCGGTTCAAAAGTTTGGAAAACCCTTTTTGTTTTTATCGTGGAGGTAAGCAATAGACAACGAAAAATGTCTCAAATTCTTTAACAGTATCCAAGTTCATGTTCTTAGGGAATGCGATAGGCATTATATGTTTGCGAATTCAAAAACCACAATCAGAAAATATGGATTTTTTAGGGAAATCCCGCGTCAAAAGTTTGGAAACTTTTTGTTTCCCTCATAATTAAAAGTTCCGCTATTCGATGTTTGCATATTCCTGTGGATTTTAGTGTAGTTATTAAGTGTTATCGTACTTTTGAATGAAATCCATGTGAAAAGGAAACATCATCTCCCGTAAAAGTTTTTCAAACCCGGCAGTCTAGAATACGAGATTAGAATTGTTTTTCTGTACGGAAGCATTATTATCCAAAGTTTCTAGCGTTGTTGGAGTCAAACAAACATAAGAAGAATGAAGTATCACAAAAAAAATCCTCGCGAGGAGAATTTACTCTTCTTAAAGACCTCGAGGGGCGGTTGGCATGTCCCGTCTAAACAACATTCCCAACCAAGAAACCACTTTTTTGGGTTTTCGGGCGCGTTTAAATGGGTAGCTGGACGCTTAGTCCAACGCGAAATTTCAGTATGGCCGCGACCTATGCGAATATATATTGGAGATGTGCCCAAACATTAGCTCGGTTCTTCAAAGAGCAGGTATTGACCGGAACTGGCTTCCAACAATACCGCCTAACGTGAACCGAAGGCGAGAAAGCAAAAGTTTGTGCTAAGCGACAATTGATAAATCTGCCTTCCTGTAAAGGAAGTTGTGAGCCCTGTCAAGTGTTTTGTCAAATGGGAACCTCATTTTGGGTATTATACTCCAAGGGTTAGCAATAGTGGAAGTGTGGTCGTTGGTGACGATGTGTCCGACCATTCGGCGCTTCCCCAATTCTTTCGATCCAGAGGACCGTGGGCAGGGCTGAATACAAGGATGGTCTGGCGAATTCAATGCATCTCTTTGATAGTCAGAACTAGCGAAAAATATGGGTTTCCATTACCATCATTGATAGTCCGGATGCGTCGGCCTATCTCGTCCTTGGCGCTTTCGAAACCTAGGAGAAAAGCTGTTGTTAAGAGACCAAGTTCAAAGGATTTCATGTCAACTGAGTTTCTGCACCCTAAAAAAGGATTAGGCCATGGCGTTACGAATCGTACATTCCAGCGTCTTCGGGGGGGGAAGGTCCTACCAAAGCAATTTTGATTCAGTTCACATGAAGGCTTCACTTAAAAGTTCCAAAAAAAATGCTCAAATCAATTCAATAACAATGAAAACGATGCTAGCTAGAGTGTTCGATCTACTCACGAACTGATAATTCCTCATCTGGATTTAAGAGCTACTGTTGTGAATTCGCTTCGGAATTGAGGAGTTTCCAAGTTTTTGACGCTCTGCTTCTTTAAATATCGGTATATTTCATTGCTGGTTTTTTGATTCTCAGGAAGTGATGTAGGCATATGTGGATGTCTACGCTGTCTTTGCTAGATTAATAATTAACTTTGGGACAAATTCGTTGCTATTAGCCCCGCGCTAGATCAAAAACAAAAAAGTTTCCAAACTTTTGACCGCTACTGTATATATATAATATATATAATATATATGTAATATATATAATATACTATAATATATATAATATATATAATATATATATTATATATAATATATATATATATATATACATTCAAAGAATGTTTTCTTATGCTAATATTTGTTCATTTGTAGCAACAATTATGGAAAGCACAGATCAGATGAATTTTGTGGAAAGAACGAAAAGCTTCATTGGACACGCGATCCTACCAGGAATGTGGAAGAAGTCAGTCGTGTTTTTGTTTTAGAAAAAAAAACTTGAATTTTTACAAGTTACTCTTTTCTTCGAGGTGGCAAAGGTGTTTGCCTATGTACCCTGTATTTCGGAAGCGAGAAGAGTGTCGAGTGCAGATCACACACTACAAGTGACGACGAATAAGAAAAAATGGTTTCTTCCTTTCTTCTTGGCCTTCGACACTTGTGCTGTGGTCTGTACTCGACGGCTTCCGAAATAAAGGGTAGTCTACCGTCTCGAACAAAAGAGAAATAAGAGATGGCATTTTTGGAATGATATGAGATAAATAAGGTATCGTTGAGCACTTGATTTGATTTACAGGAAGTAGGAAGAAATCGACTTTCAAAAGAATTTTACTCCACTTGGGAGAATTTCTCATTCCCCATAAAAATATCATGCGGATCTGCAAGAAGAATCAAGTGTCTGGCGCTGACATCTTATTTCGAGCCTGCAGCGTTCCTTTTTTATCAATTCGTTCAAATTTGTTTTGAATTCGAAAACGTGAAATTTTGACAAATCCGCGTTGTTCGTTGTTGCCTCAGCGAACGAACTTCCCACTAACACATGCTTGAAACCACTCGAACAAATTGGTGTGGTTATGCCGCTGAAAAATTAAGGTTAAATTGCGAAGTAGACTGATAGCGAAGAAAAATGGAAAGTTGTTGATCACTGATAACTCGATTATTTCTGGTGCAGGACAGGTAACAGAACTTGCTTATGGGCGCACTTAATTTACTTACTTAGATACTTAGACGACCCGTCCATCTGCTTGGCGGTTGGCCTTGCGCGGGTCCCAACTTCTCTTCCATCGTTCTCGGTCTTGAGCTATGGTTGTCCAATGAACAGACACCTTAAGGGACACGGGATCAAATACGTTGTTGCGATAAGCTAGAGAGTCTGCCCAACGTACTGGAGGACGGCCGGGTGGTCGTTTCTTTTCGCGCGGGTACCATCGCACAGTTGCAGCACTCCATCTGCCATCATTTCTCCTCATCAAATGACCAGCGAATCTGTGTTTTGCCTCATCGACGATGTGGTCTATAGGGTTTTCAAAGGTCCACTTTCGATATGGCCCTGATGTAGTACGTATAATTCGAGACAGCAGTACCAGAGGGACACGTTTGATACTTAGCTCAAATCTTTGACTCGAATCAATGCAGGAAAATTGCGGAGCAATACAGTTCAGCTCGAGGCCCCACAGTGACCATTTCTGTCTCTCGTCAGGAACATTCTAGATAAATAATTTGACATAAAACTTTTTGATCTGTCACCATATATGTTCAAGTCCACTTATTATTCGCTCGCGCATGGACGGGTAGAATTAGTTTGTTCTCCAATGGCACTCATTATATGGGTTCGAGCTTCCAAGTTGTATGCCGTGCTTGTTTCCTATAGATGGGTATCCCTCACTGCTTCCTGAAGCGTTGTCGAAGGCAAGAGCGGAGCTAGTTTGGAAAGCGTCTATACTGAGAGTGGCCGTCAGAGGATGGTTGATAATTCTCTCCAGCAATTTACTGGCGTACTCAAATTCAGACCGCCTCGGAGGGTAACGAGCAAAGGAAGGGGTCCCATTTTGCGCATTCTTCACAGATTTCTTTGCTTTTTTGCAGCATTCCCACTTCCACTATGAACCTAACCCAATCTCATCGTAATCATTGCTTCTTAAAGCGAGAAATTACGATAAAATTTCTGTGCAGCATGGAAGAACGAGCAGCACTTCAAGCAGTAGCTAGAGCCCAAAGGAATCGAGATGTGGCCTTTTTGTGACTAAAGGTGCGCTCGTTGCAGCGCCCTGGGGCTGCCAATCCTTTCTGAGCTCCGCCTCCGCCTGTGCTCCGCCCCTCAGCAGATCGCTGTTCGATTATCATTCTGATAAGGTATGCCACTTCGAGCGCGTATCCAATTTTTTTCTCATGGAATGCTATATCAATCAAGGTATGATCTCTGGTGGTATGATGGCAGCTATGGTTTAACGAGTGCCGACGACCTCTTAGTTGGTTGCCAACTCGTCCATTATCGGAGGTCAACGGGCAGAGGAAGTGGTCCCATTTTGCGCGTTTTTGACGGATTTCTTTGCTTTTTTCGCTACTAGGGCATTATTCAGCATCTTCACTTCCACTATGAGCACAACAGAATCCTATCGCAATCTCTCGCTTTAAGTGAACGCGCTCCCACTTTATCAACATCTGGTCTATACTCCACCACACGTTTGGGTACAGGTACACGACAAACCAAATAAGCATTTATTGATAAGGATTT